CATGTAGAGTATTTTTGATAATGGCTTCAATATTTTCTATAGATGGTACAGTAGTATACAAGTAGAAACATCAATAGAATAGCTACCGAGCATCATTTCTGGGAGAGGAAAGTAGCTCACAGTTGACATGATAACCAAATGCCTGCCTGTGTTTCAAATCATACTGCATATTTAATGGGGATATTTCCTGCTGTTTTTCCTTTTCTTTTATTGGTTTGAACACACTTGTAATCTAGGTTGCAAAACTAAGAATTTTATGCTATGTTATTTACTTGTTTATTATCATAAAAAGGGGGCATTAGAGCTGTGACACAAGAATTTGAATAGAGCCGGGCGGTGGTGGCGCACGCCTTTAATCCCAGCACTCGGGAGGCAGAGCCAGGCGGATCTCTGTGAGTTCGAGGCCAGCCTGGGCTACCAAGTGAGTTCCAGGAAAAGGCGCAAAGCTACACAGAGAAACCCTGTCTCGAAAAACCAAAAAAAAAAAAAAAAAAAAAAAAGAATTTGAATAGAACATATTTATGTGTTAAATATATTCATCTAATCAAACAAAAAAAAACAACTATTTTTTTGGTAACTATTATAGTGTTCTGTTTAGAATAGTTTCTTACTTGGTGGCCACAGAGAACTTTCAGTAAACTATTTGCAATTTATCATTGGGTAGTATATATACTGGAACTGGAACATAAAAATTCTTAACTAATAGCTAATGCTGAATCCAGGTATGGTTATGGATGGATATCTGTAACCCAAGCTATTCAGAGAACTGAGGCAGGAAGATCCCAGGTTAGAATCCAGCCTATGCAACTTAGCGACAATCTGTACCCAAACAGTAATTAAAAAATAAAATAAGTCAGTGATGTTATTCAATGTCACTGTACTGAGAATCAGGCAAGAACACAATCTTTGCATATATTGGCATATTTGGGAGCCAATGTTTAATCTAAATGCTTTTATTTAATTTCCAGGGATCGAGGGAAAAGACAATCAAGAGGTTACTGGAAACTTGGCATTAAGTTTGAAGTGATGAAAATATTTTTAATGTACACCACTGTGAATGATCTGAAAAACACCAGGTTGTTTGCTTAAAATAGTTAATTTTATAGAATTTCATCATATTAAATTTCTATTAGTGAGTGATTAGATCAAAAGAGTCCCAGACCCTATATAGATTGGGAAGTCTCCTCAGAAGTGACAGTGTAGTCTTGTTCAACATTGATTCCAGGGAATTTGGTGAAGGCTGGGAGTCATTTTGTATTCTCCTTGAAAAATGAATTCAATCTTGCTCTAACATACCTCTGTTTTATCATGATATTAAATTATCAGAGCTTATGAATACTCAGCGTTCATGGGTTGGCTTCTCTTCCATAAGTTGCTGCATTTTCCACACATACCTGGAGTCAGCTGATCTCACTCATCCATCTAAGAGACAATATACAAGAGATCTTGAATGCTTCTCCCTCTATGGCTTAATATGCTCAATGGGAGTATGAGCACATGGACCTAGGTGGGGGTGAGGTTTTCAGGTTCAGATGCTTTCATGGGATTTTGAAGGGTTTATTAGTTCATTGTATCAACAAAATGGGTTAGATTATTATAAATATCTCTGTCATTCATGTGAGCCCATTGAAACACTGTTTGTACCCAATAGAAAGGTAAAGCTAGTGTGTTCCATGGTTACAAGATAGAAACTGAGATTTATCGAATGAAAAGACCCTTTGTCTATTGGTATGCATGTGTGTGAGTGGGTGTGCATGTGTGTTAACCATTTTGCAAATAACATCTTGTAAGGGCCCTTCTTTTTGAGAGACTGCTATGTGTTATACCACTTTTTAGGTGTGTTGTCTAAGTAATCCATCATCCTTGGGGTCTCCTAGAAAATTGATGTTCTTATTTCATTATTAGAATGAGATAATGGAAAGTAAAGGAAGTTGAGTGGTCTTGAGAGGTCAATTGTTGCTGGTAGCTACAATTCTCTTTCCAAAACTCACTTGACTAGGACACATTGCTGCTAGAATGCCCTGTGTGACTTTTCTTTAGTGATGTTGCTTACATGAAAATACATGCGATTTGCAGGGACACCTTCTGACCACTGGTTTGGTTTCCTTAAAGCCACGCTGATCTGATTGTTCATAGATCTGCATTAGCTTTCAAGGACAGTCTATCAGAATGTTGCTGGGTATATTGTCATTGCACTGCACCAGTAATAGGTGTATCAGTTCACGAGACAGCTTTGTTTTAGAAAGTGTATGAGAACCTGAAGTGAAGGATGAGGGTCATGAATGTATGATGGCTAGAGAGGAGGTCAAATTTGGATCATGAGAAGGTGGAGCACCTGGGAGTTTAAAGAAGGTGGGTAAGTGAAAATGTGTGCACCCATTTTCATTATCCATTAGAACATAATGGCAAGTAACTGTCCCAGTGTATGGGTTTTCATCTTGGGGATGACCGGCATTGTCTGCCTTCCAAACAACTTTATTTTCCTGACTCTGTGCATTTTGGGGTGCTCCCCTCTCCTGAGGCACCCTCCCCTCATTGTCTGTGATCTTTGCCTATCTCTGCTTCTTGTTAAAAGCGTATCATGACAGTGCCTAACTCCAACAGGTTCTCTGTCATGAATCCCGACAGTGTTTTCTGTCTGCATCATTTAATTGCTACTTGCTTTCAGACTCAGTTTAATTTTGCATGTCCGCAGCTCACCTGGAGCATGAACATGAGCTCTGTGGAGGTTCATTACACTGAACCTGCATTTTTATTCCATCCCTGTCACCGCCCTTAGTTTCCACCCCTTGAATAATAGCCAATTTCATAATTCTTAAATATAATGTTTTCTTAAAGCACAGTAAAAAAAAAATATGCCATTTATTTTAGAGAGACATTTCTTAAAAGGAGGCTGTGTGGTCATTGATGTACTATTGTGGTAGAGTACTATATCCCATTTGTTTCCTGGGAAATTTCTGATGTTCACTCACACTGTCAATATCCTGTTAAGGCAGTCAGTTCTAACAGCACTCCTGTGTTTAACCCACTACTGCTCAATGCACCGTCCACCTCTTCCACATTTCATAAGATTTCTGTATCTCTTATTCCTGGAAATGTTCTTTGCAAACCATTACTTTAGAAAGCTTTGTGTTACAATTATGCTAATCATATTCACAAGAGTGGGAATTAAATTTTGATTAGATGTAGGTTAGGTTGCCCCCATCCCCCGGCCTGCTGGCTTCTGCATGTGGGAATGAGGTGCCCCCGATGACTTCCTGCATGTGTGTATGTGTGTGTGTGTGTGTGTGTGTGTGTGTGTGTGTGTGTGTGTGTAGGGGGTGGGTACACTGTGTGGACTCAACCTGAAAATAGATTGAGACCAAAAAGAGAATGATTGGAACCAAGCTTTCAGCTTGATTATCTGCTGGAATCTCTATTACTTCTCATAATATGCTTGAAAAATTTTATTTGTACCTCAAGGGCAATGAGCCTGGCCTCATTTACAAATATGAATGCAGATATTCACCACACACTGTCTTCTCCTTGAGGCAGGCTTCCTGTCAGCTTGTTTTATTCACTTCTTTAGAAAGGGATATCCACCTCCAGGGGATTAGACATAGCATAGATAATGGGATAATGGAAGCTTAGGAATTAGAGGTTTAGCTGTGAGACCCAATTGTTCCAGGGGTAGTCATGAGCCCGTTTTCCACTCTGACCCTCTGACTCTCTGACTTCTTATCTGTGAACTGATATACAACATTCCGACCCCCATGAGCTTCTCCTAAGGGTCCTCTGACAAATGTGTGATGTATGCAAAATACGTAGGCTACACCAAGGAGGTACTGGATAAATACTCATGTCCTTGGCACTTATTCTCATGCGTCAGACTCATCACAACAGGAAGATTCCAAACTGTAAAGTTACTCAGACAAAACTGTCTGTCTCCTATAGCTGTCATCCCACATTTTATGTTGTTATTTCAAATAATAAATGATGCCTTTATTCTTTGTGTCCTCTGTTTATGAGGAGACTGTGAATGGATAGAGAGGAGAAGAAGAGAATTATTATATCTAAGGAATTTGTCATAATGATAAATAAACAACCCCAAAGTGGTTTTTTTTCAAGAAACCATTGTTATCTTTTGAGATATGAAAAGTAACTTAGATGATCCCATTTTTCTGACCATCAGCTCGTTGTTAAGCACTATCCTGCCTTGTTCTAAAAGTTACAAAAATTGTAGTAGGATATGATATCAAAGGATTGTCAATGTTATTTACAGAGGGACACTAAAGACCCAGTGTCAATAGCAAAACTGGTACTCTTTGATATTTGGTATGTTTTGTACCTTGGTTTTAAGCACAGTTATTATTTATTTGGAAGTTGTCTGGATTATTACCAAATGTGTTAGGAAGGACCTGAGCCTGGCTTTCAACTTTTGTCAACATTGTCTGCAATTTCAGCCACAGGCCTTTCCACTATAATTAGATTATTTATTCCTTGGCACAAAGAAGAAAAATCATATGGTAATCTTGCTAGATATTAGATATTTCGAGGTAAATGCACTGGAAAGAGAACTGGGGTGATGAAACTCTCCTTTAGGGAGTGGATTATGATGGTTGGCATCAATTGTGATGTTCAGAGCACCCTGGTCTCCACTTTGAAGATGAGTGAACATTTTCCATATAGCTGCCATTAGCATGTCAGTCATATTTAGCTCCAGCCATCCATGGCTAAATTGTTTCTAGAAGAAGCCAACTTTGTCCCTATAAAGAATGACAAATGAGAATCTGGCCGTATTATCTACTTTGTAAATATCATATTACTTCTTGACAGATTTTCCTTGACATGAACATTATAGATAGCTGAAGGTACCTCCATATTTATACTTCATGGCTTGGACATCTACTGAAGGTTTCCAAGACAAAGTAGGATAATAGAGAAAGCAACAGACCAGTGAATTCCTTGGACTGGCCTCAGTTTTCATCACTAAGAAACTGTCTCTAACTCTTTGGTTATAGGAGAAGAAGTATCAGGGAGTCTCTGCCCAGTGCCTCCTCCTCCTGAACGGATGGCTTGTGATATTCCCTGCCGAATGGACTGTGTGGTGAGTGAGTGGACGGTGTGGTCATCTTGCTCCCAGTCCTGCTCAAATAAAAACGCAGATGGCAAACAAACCAGGTCGCGGACTGTCCTGGCTTTGGCTGGAGAAGGTGAGTGAGAGATTCAGTACCTCACTGAAAGTTTTGTTATTGAATAAGTGTCTGCGACATTCTCGTCATGCATGGTGATCTCTGCTCTTTAAATGCATTAGCCATTTCTTTTCCACACATGCTTTCTTTTCTGTGAGACCTCTGTTTTATCTATGCAGGGCTTACCTTTCCACAGAAATGGCTTTAGTCCAAACTCTCAAATGTCCCAGTCTAATGAATTAGTTACTCTGTTTATTCCACTGCTTACAGAAAGGAGCAAAGTATGGTCACACATCCAGGCTCCAGTGCCTTATACAACTGGGAATATAATTGGACCAATCTGGTATAAAGAGTTCCAAAGCAGGAATTAGGAGACCTGGCTTTCCCACAAACAACTGCCAATAGCACCTGGAAGATACTTATCTGTGACCTGGTTTCCTTTTCTAGAATACTTAGTGCTAGGGGTCAGGGAGAGAACATGAAAGTCATGAAAATAGCTTTGAAGAAGGTAAAAGGTGCTGTGGGGATGTGAACAGCAACTTCAGAACAAATTAAAGCAGCGTTCATTCCCATCCTTCCCAGCAATGGACTCTGTCCCCAGATAGATGCCATTCCTTTCATGTCCTCCCTCTGCTGCCTCAGTCTTTGGCTCCGTCAGAGGAGCAGGACTGTGGGACCCCAGCTGTGAGTAACATCTTAAACAAGATTTCAGCTCTGTGATCATGAGAAATAGGGCTAGGGTCATAGTAAAGAGAACTTCGTTATCTGGACGTGCAACTGCTTTTATACATCCTGCCTTTGTTTTTTTTCTAGAATGAAGGGGGAAAGATTAGTATTAGAATAAAAATAACAAAATGAAGGCTATGCATCTGGGCTATTTTGTCCCACTGAATAAAACATTGTGGTGTGTGGATTAGTAGGGAAAGATCAATACTTCAGAGACACACTGCTTCTTACATTGGAATAAAAATGTAAAAGAATAGATAGTAATGAAGTTTGGTTATCTGATTCAGCCAAGGGTTTAAAGGTGAACATCTGCCTGGTCTGCCTGCCAGGGCAGAGTGGGTTGTCAGAACTATTTCAGGATTTAAGATGAGCTTTCTCTTGCCAGATTTTAATACATGCCTTGGATTTCTCAACTCACAGTAAAATGCTTCATGGAAGATAAGCACTTTAAAAGTGGCACTCTGAGAAACATAGCATCTTCCTTAAGAAAGGGAATTATGTACAGTGTACACTTGACATAATATCACTCCAAGGTCATAGCCTATTCCATGTCACCAATTCACATTTGTATAGTGTGCATTTGACATAGTGTCACTCCAAGGTCATGGGCTAGTCTATCTCATTGATTAGCTTATGCAAACAAAATAATATCCAAAGAAAAGCTGTTTTTTTTGGAGTTCATATCAGAGATGTATACTCCATAGGTGGATATTAGACCAAATTAATTTTATATTCTGCTGGACATGCACCTGCTGCCCATAAATTGGGAGACAAGAACGTACCACTCTCCATCAGCTGTGGCACAGGAAATGGATATCTGATCTTAGTGTCAGAAGCACCCAGTAGGTTAGGTCTCCAGGTCACAGAAAAACAAAAGCAAGAATGACATCATCATCATTAATGGTTTCTTTCTCATTTAAAATTTTCACAGGTGGGAAGCCCTGCCCTAGTAGTCAGGAACTCCAAGAGTACCGCCTGTGCAATGATCACTCCTGTACACAGCTCTACTGGGAGACATCTGCTTGGGGCCCCTGCTCTGAAAATACTCTGGTGACTGCCCTCAATGTGACCATTGGCTGGAATGGAGAAGCGACATGTGGGGTGGGCATTCAGACACGGAAAGTCTTCTGTATCAAGAGTCATGTGGGACAAGTAATGACCAAAAGGTACCTCTAGCCTTCTGCTAAAAGTGCATATGATCATTTTATAATTGAATATTTTTAGTAGAAAGTGATTATCAAACAAATGATAGGCCTAGGTTGTGCTAGAGTAACAAGAATCTTTGTTGTTCTTTGAAAAATCTTTATTTATTTTAATTTATTCATGTGTCCATGTGTGTGCATGCACACATGTACAGGTGTCTATAAAGGCTGGAAGAAGGCATCAGCTTTCCTGGAGCAGGGGTCATGGTGGTTGGGGGCCATTCTACTTGAGTTTTGGGAAGCAAACCCTGGTTTTCTTGAAAAGCGGCACATGCTCTTAACCATCAAGCCATCTCTCCAGACTCTGTTCTTGTTACTCAATCATCTAAGATTAAGGCATATACTGCAAGGTTAAGCATATTCAATAATATGCACCAGAAGTGCATTTATGATGTATGCATTAGTCAATGAAAAACTAAGTCATCTCTACAAACAGGAAGTAAATTTGAGTAATCAAACATATTTTCTAGGGCCGACCTCTGTGTCTTTGGCTCTTCTCAAATCTTACAGAGTTTAGGCCAACCGGGAACGTGGGTTTGTACTTTGAAGGGTGATGTTTTACTATTGTTTGGACTCCCAGGTCTCTTCTACCATTGACATTTTGGTCTGCGTAATCTGCGTTCCTTAGTTGACTATAGTTGTGTGTTTTCTGTATCCTCTGTAATGGTGATATATATTTTTTAAAGGTAAGAGGGATATATTGACATGGGAGCTGGGACACAGATTTTAAAAACCATGTCAAGAAATATTTCAAGGGATGATAAGAAAGAAGAAATTGGCTGGAGAAGTCCAGTGGGAAAGTTTCATCTCGGCCACTACCTCTCGCTCAGATTCTGATGCTGGAAAGAGAATTTAAGGTCCTATGCTGTGTTCAGAGGTGGGGTGGTTGACCTATCCTCAGAAATTCCCTTATAGCTGTACTAGAAGACCCCACTCTGACCACAGGAGTGCTGAGTCACCACAGTGTGCTGGTCAAAGCTTTGGTATATTGACATCAGCTTGGCAAGTCAGCATTCCCCTGGGAAATGGGAATTTTCAGTCTAGTGAAAGAAACTCCTTTCTCAATCCTCTTAGTGCATGAACTTAGAGGTGCTGCAGTCCGGTGGTAAAAGCAGGGGCATTGAACGAAGCTAATGCTCACAGAGATGCAGAAACATTTGCAGCACAAATGTGGGCAATATTCCGCCCAGCCCCCCTCACTACACCCTTGCCCTTTCTGGTAATACAGGCAAATTGATTTGCCCATCTGATGGATTCAGGGCATTGTATGCCTATTGTGTCAGCTCAGACCCTTGAGTAGCTAGCTTCATTCTCGGCATCACGGTGAAGGGCTGTGCCATTCGACACTGCTACAGAAGATGCACCGACCGTGTATGAGGGAAACCACAGGAGCTAAAGTTAAGGGAACAAAACTGCTTATCCTAGAAAGAGTGCTGACAGGACAGATGTGGCCCACCACTGGACCCATGAAACATCAGAATAAACACAGACATAAAAACAGAGCTTAAGTATAGGGTAACCCCAATATGGCATGTAGCACATTTTTCCTTGTTTTATGAAGAGGAATTTTAATAGGCTTGGAGTCTGGTCTCTCTTCTATAAGTTTTCAGCTCTTAACTACAGCTGGAAAAATCCACTTAATGTTAAGGTAATTTTTTTCTTTTTTCTTTTTTTTTTTTTTTTTTTTTTTCAAAAGGACTTTAGAATTGAGTCTCACATCTACTAAGTAAGTTATGACCACATACTAAATAAGGCATTACATGGACAAGAAAAGTTGAGCTGTAAGTTGAGCCTTCATGGTCCTCTAATATCCCATAATTACTTAGAATAAAAGCCAAATGTTAAATGTCATAGTTAGAATTGCTGTCAGCTTGACACAACATAAAGGCACTCGAGAAGGAAGTCTCAGTTCAGGAATTCCCCAGATCAGAATGGCTTGTGGGCGTGTCTATAGGGATCTGGCTTGTTTCTTCATTGATATAGGGGACCCAGCCCACAGTGGGCAGCACCATTCCCTGAGCTGATGGCCTTGGGCTGTATAAGAAAGCTCGCTAAACATCAGCCTGAGAGTGATTCGTCAGAGAGCGCTCCTCCATGGTTTCTTCTTCAAATTCTTTCTTGGACTCCTGCCCTGACTTCCCTCAGTATTGGACATGGAAGTGAGACCTAATAAACCATTTCCTCTGCTAAGTTGCTTTTGGTTGAGTGTTTCCTCACAGCAACAAAGATGAAACATTAACATAAAGATGCTTTGTGGTTAAAATAAATCACAATACTAAAAGTTTACAGCTTAAAGAATAATTTATAAAGCAGTATGTGTTCTTTTGTAAACTTGTAAATGACACTACACAATATCAGTTCAGTGAATAATCTCCAGTTTTGCTACAGTTTTTCAGGCCAAAAGCCACTTCCATAGGTGTCTCACCAGCAGACAGACACAGAGCATTGGAGGATTGTTAATGCTAGTTACTTTATGCATTGTCAATGAAGGTGTAAAACTAACAATAAAGTTTGCGTTCTTACTGTATGCCTCTAAACCATCCCGCTAAATACAAGCAGCCTACATTGGCTTTAGTAAATTGACTTAATTAAAATTCTTGGGGTCAATCACATTAAATAAGAAGATGGTATTCCAGTGGAATGCCCTGTGAGATTACCAGCAATAGAAATTATGCTTTATCCTGTCCTTTCCAGAAATGCATACACTTATGTTCTTTTTAGTGTGATTGCCCATGTCAACACAGACAGATCTCCCTGTCACTTGTGAACTCCTTCAGGTAGGATGGGGGCTAGAGATAGAAAGGAAGAATAATGTTTGCTGAGGAAAATTTTGGGATAGAGAATGAATACACTAAAGTGATGTGTTTTGTCCCTAACTCCCTGACCAAGAGACAAAAAGTTTTTCTTCCTACATTGCTGAGTCTGTTTGTTTTGCATGTGATTGTGTAGGTGAGAATGTTACCATTGTATGAGTAATAAAACTGATCATATCAGAAAATGAGAACCAGCCGGTGTACTACCGAACCAGAAGTCATAGCTCACATGGATATTTCTGGGGTTTTGTTTCATTATTCAATGCTTTCCAGTTGTAAAGTTTAAAAAAAAAAAATAACAAAGATTAAAAACACAAAGTCCAAGCCTTCCAAAGCTCCTGATAAGCATTTCCTGCCTTTACTGTGAAAATATCTGGCATTTGTGTGAGATATAGTAAAAAAAAAATCACTGTGTTTAAACATCTAGTATATAAAACATTGGCAGATAGGTCCCATCCAGCTGAGTGAGATGAATACAGCCGCTGCTGGGTCGGATGAGTGATTCAGGAGATGGGCACAGAGCATGCAACATGATGAGAGACATCGTGAAAACTGGCAGGGCTCCTTAGCTCCAACTGATGTTCTTCATGTCGGTATAGAGCTACAACCTCCATGATCAGAGTAAAAGACTATGTGTGCAGAACCTCACAGAATAAGTCTAAGGGAATGGATGTATAAAATGAAACTCGTGTGCCTGATATCAAGAGCACAGCCATTCAGAGCACCATCTGTGTACACTGGTAGGAAGTGTAGTTGTCCCCAAGGATGGCATGGCAAGGAGCCATGCTTTTTCTGCTAACTGAACAGTGAACTCACGTCTTCCTGGGTTTTGAGGCTGTGCTTTCAACTTGGAAATAGCTAGAGGAAATAGCCAATGACCCGCTGACAGTTACTCTTTATATTGAGCCTAGGACCTAGCGTTTTAAATATATACGACAGAATTCTGTCACCAAGGCAATCAGAACTAGTGGTATGCACCGTGTGTTATGTGTAGAACATACATATGTAAGTTACAACATAAACATTATCAACTTTTGGTGTGGTCAGTCATGGAGGTAGTGTAGAAAATGAACCTTGGAGTTTTCCCAGGCAGAGAATACCAGAGCTGTTTGTAGACAATGATGATATTTTGAAACCCTGATAGGAAATTTATGGAAATTGGAAATGAGATCAAGTGTGAAGTCTTACACAACATGCTCATAAATAGAAGGAAGTTGAGCCCTAGAGGAAAAGGTAAAGCTTGCTGGGAGAAGAAAATAACAAAAACACAATTTCATAGTCAGGAGAATAGTTGACATTTTTCGGATCAGGCAGCACGTGCCCTTTCAGGGCATCTCTCAGCCTGGTTCCATAAAGCACTGCACCTAGGCCTAGCCCTCTGAGAGAGGGGTTGGCAGTGTTGCTCTTGTTCCCCAAGAGTAGAGCATAGGGAATATGTCCACCTTAGAGAGGGCCGGCATCACTCCCAGTAACCACATGACGAATGAATCTTCCAGAGTCAACAGGAAGGATGCTACCATTTCCCCAGGAGAGATTAACACTGATTCCTGTTTGAATGGCCAGAGTCCCTGCAGTATAGGCACCCTGTACAGAAAGCTTGAAGGTCAGCACCACGGATACTATTCTTTGAATGCCTAGGTGGGTCTGAGCCCTACTTCTGTGTTCCACAGAACGCAGAAGAGCAGGTATTACTGGAGACACTCCAGCCATGTTTAGACATTACTTGGCTGCCAGCTCTGGGACCCAAGAGGCAGCAAATGGGGTTAGGATAAATGGCAGTTCACTTTATTTTTATTAGACCTCAGAGTATGAATAAAAGTCCTGGGAATGATTTCAGTGTTTTTTACTGTCTGACTAAGGTAGGGTATAAATTTTCCTTACTGGAGTGGGTTGTTTCAATGACACTATATCCTTATAAAGAACCTCTTCCTCCTACTGATTTGCTCATTGAGCAAATCCATTTCATAATGGTTTGTTTGAATTAATGATGATTAATAATAATGCACTAATAAGAATTCTTTTATTATTTATTACTCATTATTTTCTGTGTGCATGTACATTTTTCACTGTAATTTATTTTTTTATCAGAGTATTACATACTACATAGAGTTAAACAATACATAAGGATCGTTAGTGGAATGCAGTCAATCCCCAACCATTCCCTATTCTACACCTCATTCTCATAAACACAACCTCCTTTTCAGCTGGTGTCTCATATCTTTCTCTTGGCTGTGTAAGAATGCACCTAGCTCATCAATAGAAATATGAGAGGCAGGTAGTGAGCACCCAGCTTTTCTCTCCTCCTTCTGTGTCACTGTATCTTGTCAGCTTGTCTGTCTGCACTATTCCTCCATGTCCCCATGAACAAACACATGATTCCACTCCCAGTCCTCTTCTCTCTCTGACGTTTCCCTCTTCATTTTAAATGAAATGTTTTTTTTCTATATCATCCATGTGATGTTTTTGTTTACAATTGAAAACTCATCTGTTCATTAGTGCCCATCAAAGCAATGACTCCTAGACTCTCTTACCAGGACCTTCATGACCCTCTTCCTGATGGGGTATTCTGCCAGTAACTTGCATTTACGCTTTTGGTTAATAGTTTTGGAACCTTTGTCTTCATCAGTTTGAGCTGCTATAATAAAAATTGCCACAAGCAGTGACCACAAGAAACAGAGCATTATTTCTCACAGTCTTGGAGGGTAGGAGTCTCAAGATGACAGTCTGGTCAGGGTACAATAAGGGACTCTTTCTAATTTTCAGTGGACTACTCACTGTGTCTTCACATGGGGATGAGCAAGGAGAGGGAACAAGCTTGCTCATGTCAGGGGGCAAGTCCTTTTGTGAGGGCTTAGCTCCCATAAACCATGCACATCCTAAAGACCTCACTCAAGCACTATCACTTTGAAGGTCAGGATCTCAACATGTGAGTTGAGAGAAACTCAAACTTGCCATCCAAAGTGCATTAGTTATTTTTCTCATCACTAGGACAAAAATACTTCACACAACTTAAGGACGGAGGTATTATGTAGAGTGATAGCTCCAAGCAACCATGTCCACTGTGGCAAGGAAGGGTCAGAGTGGAAGGCTACTGCTCATGTCACATCCATAGTCAGAAAACAGAGTTGGAAAAGCTTGTGCTCAAATTCATTTTCACCTTTTCATTCAGTCGGACCCCCCAGCCCATGGAAGAGCACCGCCCATTGTTAGGGTAGCTCTTCCAATGTCGATTAATCTAATCTAGAAACTCCCTCACAGGCATGACTGAAGATTTATTTCCATAGTGAATCTAGATCTCGTCAAGCTGATGGTCATGACTAGCCATCACACAGCATCCTTTTTTCCTTTTCATTTAGATTCTCTGAACCCTTGCTTTGTTGCATAAGGGCCTCTGACCCCTGCTTTCTAACTGTAATTCTTGCTTGATAATTGTTTGTTATCTGTAATTTTACTATGTGAAAGTTAAAACCTTCCTTTTTGAAAAAAAGAAAAGGGGAAGTGCTGTGGGATGTTCAGTATGTTAAATGTGTTGCTCTGATTGGTTAATAAATAAAATACTAATTGGCCAGTAGCCAGGCAGGAAGTATAGGTGGGACAAGGAGAGAGGAGAATTCTGGGAAGTGGAAGGCAGAAGCAGAGAGAGGCTGCCAGCCGCCGCCATGAGAAGATGTTAAGATACCAGTAAGCCACGAGCCACATGGCAACTTATAGATTAATAGAAATGGGTTGATTTAAGATATAAGAACAGTTAGCAAGAAGCCTGCCATGGCCATACAGTTTATAAGTAATACAAATCTCTGTGTGTTTACTTGGTTGGGTTTGAGCAGCTGCAGGACTGGTGGGTGAGAGAGATTTGTCCCGACCGAAGGCCAAGCAGGACCAGAAAAACTTCAGCTACACTGCTTCCCTTCTTCACTTTTGATGCCCAGCCATACCCCACTATACCCATGTCTTACTATAGCCAGACCAACATTGTCGAGCACTCCATCCCCAAACATGAGTGCCTCTTCCATTCTCTGAACTGCTTCTAAAGTTTTTTAAATTAAGAAAATGATTTTCATGTTTATAATTCTATTAGTTGAGGTCCAATGTGAGCAGAATTCTCCTCCTTCTTAGAAGACTTCTCTTTTTTCCCTTCCTTTATTTCTAACATGATTAGTTCCTAACACGTGTCTTTAAGTTTGAAGTATCCTAGTGTTTGCATGCTGGTCATTTGTCACACCTGGAGAATTTTCATTCTGAATTACCGTCGCATGGTATTATGAAGTTCTATGAAGGTCTGACCCATTATCTCCCTGCTAATGTTATCTCTCCTGCTTCTCAGTTTTTTTCCTACTGAAAATCTGTTCACTGTTAGACTTGCGATGGGATTGTTCCACCAGCACCATTGTTTTCCAAGGGCTTCGGTCTCCCTGTAGTTTGAAGTCTACTGTTTATTATCGAAGGCCTTCAGTTGAGCATTCCTCTGGGTCAATGTCAGAAAGAAGTGCAAGAGCAGAGTCACAGCCCTTACCCACACATGGCCCTGACCCTTGGATCACCCCTTTAATCTACATGACGTGTCCAGGCTTTGTGGGAACCTTAGGGATTGAAATCCCACATATGCATAATAAGGTGCCCTCTCTGTCTTGCTTGCTGTTTTACTTCTGTTGTAGAAGACAGGCATGCCTTCCAGCTCTCAATATACAGAAGCAAGAAAGCAAGCTAAGAAAGAAAAATCCTTTTTGTTGTTGACCAGAACTTTGTTTCTTCTAAGTGGTTGATTATATAGTACCATTCCCAGGTGTACACATTAACCTAATTCTCAATGGAATAACATCTCTCATGTTTTTCTATGCTTAAAGCTAGCTAACATGTTTGTTATCTGTGATTTGCAGTATCATGTGTTCCCTCTCTCATCAGCCTATATGTTCCATGGAAAACATAACAACTATTGGAATATTCAAAAATGTTTAATGATCAGAGATATACAACATTTTACTTGAACTTTAATGACTTTTCCTTCTTGTGTTTCCATACCTTGCTCATAACAACTATTGGAATATTCAAAAATGTTTAATGATCAGAGATATACAACATTTTAATTGAACTGTTATGACTTTTCCTTTTTGTGTATCCACACCTTGCTCTATGATATCTTCTTCATCTTCTAAAGCACACCAGTAATTTGATATATTACCTGAAAAAATATCAAATCTTATTTGGACTGACCCTGATGGTGTGACAGTTGACATTTTCCTAATTTTAAGAATGGCATCTTTCTTCCTTGCTGTAGTGAATACCACTTTGGTGTCTGAATCAAGTGTGGTGGAGTTGACTTGAGTCTTCCCCTGGCCACAACCTCCTGTGCAAGGGGCATCATTCCCTGAGTCTTTTTCTTCCATCATCTATAAAAGAAACAGGTTTTTTTTCTTCAAATCCTACAGTTCTAAGTCAATCCATATTTACTATCCAAAAGACTGACATAGTCTCTTTGCTTTGACAGATGTCCAGAGTCCACGCGGCCTGAAACTGTAAGACCTTGTTTCCTCCCATGCAAGAAAGACTGCCTCGTGACTGCTTTCAGTGAGTGGACACCCTGCCCACGTCAGTGTCAGCCAGGTAGGTGGTGGATGCTCTTAGCCTGCTTTCTTTTCTAACCATTTGAACCGTTTCTCACTACTGAATATGTGGGCGATTGTGGGATATGAGCATCTTTCTCACCTGTCTGTGTGTTAGATTGACAGTGAATGAGTAAAGGGTTGTACATAAAATCCTGCATATACAGTTCTTTAGGACTTGGAAACAGAAATATATTCAGATATGATATGTCATGATTTAACTGATAAACATTCTAGGAATACGTATGTCCTACTAACCTTTGTCTGAAAGACCTCTTCACGTAGTCACAACTTATTGATTGTCATTATCAATATCTTACTTTGAACATCATTCCTATGGGATTCCTTCTGAAGCATCATTACCACCCCAGAGCTGCTGTGTGTACTTGACTTAATTAGCATATAGAACTTAATCACTGTGTTTAAACCGGTAATGAGCATAACTGCATGGAAAAACAAGAGCAACTGTGTCAATAAGCCTTGAACAAGTACAGATATTGGAAATATAAGATTTATATTTCTTTATATTTTTTCGGGTGGTGATTTATGTGCCTGGGTGTTGTCTAGGACACTGAAGAGCCAAGTCTCAGCTGAGCATAGCAGACTGGGTTCCCCAGACGTAGCTCAGTGTCCAGATGAGCTCATTCATAATTGTGAAGTTCTGTCTTAGTCTGAGGTTTGGAGTGAACAGTTTGCTCTTTTACAATAGTTTCATACCTCTAGTCCTGTTTCCTGGTATTTTAACTCTGCTATAGGAAGAAAGGGAAAAATCTAACAAAAAACAAGAACAGTAAAAGTCCTAGCTCTGGTGCCCAGAGATGATTGTCTCCCACATACTCATGATCGTGGTGGTGGCCCTTTAGAAGCAGGGTGTGACTTACTCTACTGCTGCACCAGCTCGATGGAAAAAGGAAGTGTTCAGTTGTTGTACACAGAAAACTTAACAGACACTGAGCACATCCTGCTTCCCCCTGGAAAGTCACAGCCATGTTTGTCTGGGTCTGTCCTTCTCTGATTCATCTACAGCATCATTTCATCAGGTAAGGCCAGCATTGCCACAGACCCAATGGGCAAAGGGATGGTGTCACTCTTGAAGACCTCTTCACGTATTCTCGACTTGCTGGCTACTACCAACAATGTCTCATGCTACGAAGAGGGCACCAGCATGTGCTGTTTTATATCTGTTCCATTCACCTTCTGAACATTTCCACAGAGTTAATATAATAACTCTGCTTAAGGGCAGAATTGGGAATAAATATATTGAATAAGAAGGAACTTAGAGGATTATATATCTGATATTTGGGAGAAGAGAAATGCTAGTCTCTTCCAGGAACTCTCCACCATTTACTTTCTGGAATGAAGATCCAAAGTAGATAAATCAGATAAATGGGGTTTGGCACAGCCAGGAAAGACAGTGGAACAGAAAAAACTGCCTCTATTCCAATCCGTGTTAAAGGCAGTGTTGAAGGAGCTCACCCGAAGTTTTAATGGTAATATAAACTAAGTGTTGGAAAAATGCAGGTGATTGGTATAATATACAATGAGGGAGGGTCTCCTGTATCTCTGTTCAACAGTTATAAAGTGGAAAAACTGGAGTTAAAAGAATGTCCCCATTGGAAGCCTACGTTTAGTGTGGGGTCATCTAAGTGCCCTGTCACTTTGGTTAGTTTAGTTGAGCCAGGGCACCCTGGCAAGCAGGGATTTCTTCAGCCATTGCCTGACTGTGTAGTCAACATACAATAAAATTTGCTTTGCTTTTTAAGATTTTTTCTTACCTTGGCTGAGGGGTCGAGAATCACAGCTTGTAATATAATGGTTCTTGGAGCAGCTTTAAATTTTACTCCAATTTCCAGAGATTCAATTAGTTGTTTAAATGGTAGGCATTGCAAAGATAATAATTTCTAAGCCTCTGTACTGGTTTTTTGTTTTTTGTTATTTTGTTGGGTTTTTTTGTTTGTTTGTTTTGTTTTTGTTTGGTTTGGTTTTGGTTTTATTTTTTTTTGGTTTTATTTTTTTTTTCTCCAACTCTTCAAACCTAGATAAGTTGTTTCACAATCTTGCAGCCAAAGACCTGAAGGAATAAAGATTCCATTTTTAGATTTCTTCCAGCTTCCTGCTTATTCTTATGTTTAGTCTCATGCTTGGAACATGATATTAAATAAGCTTAGGTTAATCAGAGGCTGCTAAGAGATTGGGATTTTTTTTTGTTTTTGCAAAGAAATGGTCATTTTAAGCCTGTTGTTCTCAAATGTTCTTGCCTCTGAATCACCTAGAAAATCAGTGAAATGCAGATTGCTGTCTTTATGCACAGGAATGTGGATCCAGTAGCTGTGGGATAGGTGCCGGATATTTGCAATTGTCTGAAGCCTAAAGGACAGTCCCTCATCTTGGATTCCAACAGCTGGTCTGCAGGTCTTTGAAACCCCTGCTTTCACCCTGGCTGTGTGCCTTGACCCCTCTACAACTTCTTTCAGCCCAAAAACCTAAGAACTGTGAGCATTTAATGCAGGAGACTGCACTATGGATGAGTTGTATTTACAGCGTGGTGTCACAGACTTAGTACTAGTCTCTTCTCAGTTTCTTCACTTGTAAAGTGGGTTCAGTAGTTGCACACATCATAAGGAAAATAAACTTAGACCACTGCCTCACACAGAGTAGACATTAGACTAAGACTGTTGGCACCTACGCTGTGGGAGGCTGATGCTGTAAAGAGATGCTAAAGTGTGAATTTTCTGTCCTTGAGACTGTCCTTCAAGGAATGCTTTGAGGAGTGGGGCTTCAGAATAATACATTTCAAACCTGAACCTGAAAGCATAGCCTCCAGGAGCTTGTGAAATGCAGATTCTAATTCAATAGACCTGGGTCCTGTCTGTTTCTTTCTAAGCTCCAAGCTGTTTCCTGTACTTTGGGTATAGCACTCTCAGTAGTGTGGAATTTGTTAGCAATTTCTAAAGAAAATGTCCACTTCAAAGTTAAAAGTGAATTCATAGATTTGGGCCAGACCGTGAGACGAAAACACAGTGGAGTGGTAGTTTGGTTGAGAAAAACTATTTTGTCCCCACCGACAACTCAGGAGGAGGAAGGCAGACTGGAATAACTTGTAACTTCAACTCATCAGGACCAGTCCTTTTATGGCTGCAGGTTGGGTCATCAAAGTTGAGGGACAGCGATGTGATATGGTGTATGTATCCCTCAATGCTGTCTTTGTAATGGAATCACTGGGGAATCTGTGTTTTTTTTTTTTTTTTAGAAAGTCAGTTCCTGGATTCTATTGTCAGACATTCTGACTTAATACATCTGTGGTATGATTGGGAAATCACTAGATTATGTGAATCTTCAACCTAATCCATCCTAAACCCCCAGAAAAGCCAAGGTGGTTCAGAGGCCTAGTACATTAGTGGTGATTTGTATCTTAGCAATGAGTGAGCTGTGCCAGGTTTTATTTTGTCCTGGTTGGGATTATGAGCTAAATCCCTTAGACTAAAAGGCATTTTCAAGCCATGAACAATCTCTGGCGAGTAGCCAAACAGATTTCTTTTCTCATTCTTCCTTATCTAAGTCTGCCCTGGAAGCATTAATAATCATCCTACATCATTTCTACGCAAATCAAAGTTCTATCGGGGCTCAGCCCTGTTGTGGCCTCTCTAATTTTTAAGTCCCTGTCATAAATTAATCGAATGCTTAAGAGGCTTTTCGTGGCACTTCCCTCGCGATTTTCTCCATGCTTTCTTCAACCTATAAAGCAAATGCCTGCCCGGAAGGACCTGAGGTTGGCTCAGTAATGAGGAACGCGATGGCCTTCCTACAGCCTTTCTCTCCCCTGTGAACTTTCCTCGGTGCACTCTTGACTGAGGACCACCCCAGACCACCCTGGCTCAATCTCTAAAGGTTAAAGGGCATTTACAGTACTGAAACCCCCCTAGGTAATTCTTCCAGGTGGTGGGAATAAGAAACACTCATTTACAGCTTAATAATTTGCAGTATATCTTCATATACATTTTAGTCTGCTAGAAGAGAACCTTGCTAATTTTTTATTGCAAATAATTATTTTAGTCAATGCTGTCATTACTATCATACTTCAAGGAAATCCTCCTGCCTCAACTCTGGAATGCTGGCTTACAGATATGAGTCACTACACCTAGCATGGTTTTTATTTAGAGTCAAGGATATTGTTCCTACAAGATTTCTTTCAGGCTGCCTTGCACGGGACTTATTTTGTATTTTCAACATTTAATTAGTAAAGGAAAATTCAGACCCACACACATATAACTTAGTAAAGTGTTAAATATCATGTATTAATAATTAATACAAAATACCCCATGACCGCACAGAATAGTGATCACACCACAGAGCGTTCTTGCTTTGTCTATACTCTCCAGTTTCATCTCCTCTCCTGAATTCACTAATTGAAATATTTCCCAGATGTATAGACGACTTTATAGAAAGAAAGGATATGGAGGAGGTAAAGTTATTAGTCTGGAGAATGAAATGAAGCATACAAAAAACATATCTTCTATAACTTCCAGGAAACCTTGGGGTTGATAATTAATTATTTGCCAATCTCCTAATTAAAGGCCAAGAGAGTGCCTCTTGCTTTCATCTCCTGGAGTGAACTGCATGGCAGAGCCATGGTAACAGGAAGGCCTGCAGCAGGCAGGCTGTGCTGGGAGTCAGCAGGAAACCTCATTTGGTGGTATCCATTTCCTCCTGTGTCAGCCCTGGGAGTTAAGTCTTGAGTTTCCAGATTCAAAGACAGTTATTTTAAAAACAAACAAACAAAAACAAACAAAACACTGAGCTCGCGTGTTGTAACAGTTAAGATTATGACTTTTTTTCATGATTTTTATTTTGTTTGTAAATCAAGTTAACCCTCCTATTCCCTTGCTCTAATTCCTTTATTATTCCCTCCCAATTTCATGTGCTCATGTTTTGTTTTTTAGATTTTTTTTTTAATCCACTGAGTTCACTTAATGCTACCTTTGTGTGTATAGGTATAAGGCC